TTTTCCCCCAGTCCTGGGGGAAAATGTCCAGACCAAACGTAATTTTAAATGTTGGATTTTCTTCCTTACCAGAGAGAGAGAGAGAGAAATAGAGAGAATGAGAGGGAGAGAGAGAGAGAGAGAGAGAGGGAGGGAGGGAGAAAAAAGAGACACAGAGAGAAAGAGACAGAGAGAAAGAGACAGAGAGAAAGACAGAGAGAGACAGAGAGAGGAAGAAGAGACAGTGTGTGACAGTGAGAGAGAGAGAGAATGAGAGGGCTAAAGAGAAAGAGAGAGGGGTGAGACAGAAAGAGGAGAGAGTGACAGTGAGAGAACGAGAGAGAGAGAGAGAATGAGAGGGCTAAAGAGAAAGAGAGAGGAGGGAGACAGAAAGAGGAAAGAGAGAGTGACACAGAGAGAGAGAAAGAGAGAGAGGAACAGACAGAAAGAGGAGAGAGTGACAGTGAGAGAATGAGGGGGCTAGAGAGAAAGAGAGAAAGAGAGAGAGAATGAGAGGGCTAGAGAGACAGAGAGAGAGAGAAAGAGAGGGAAGGAAAAAAAGACAGAAAGGGAATGAGTGTGAGAAAGAGAGGAAGAAAGAGAGAAAGAGAGAGGGAGAAAAAAGAGACACAGAGAGAAAGACAGAGAGACTGAGAGAGGAGGAAGAGACAGTGTGTGACAGTGAGAAAGAGAAAGAGAATGAAAGGGTTAAAGAGAAAGAGAGAGGGGGAGACAGAAAGAGGAGAGAGTGACAGTGAGAGAAAGAGAGAGAGAGAAATAGAATGAGAGGGCTAAAGAGAAAGAGAGGGGGGAGACAGAAAGAGGAGAGAGAGAGTAACAGAGAAAGAGAGAAAGAGAGAGAGGGAGGAACAGACAGAAAGAGGAGTGACAGTGAGAGAATGAGGGGGCTAGAGAGAAAGAGAGAGACAGAGAGAGAAAGAGAGGGAAGGAAAAAAAGAGACAGAAAGAGAATGAGTGTGAGAAAGAGAGAAAGAAATAGAAAGAGAGAGGGAGAAAAAAGAGACACAGAGAGAAAGACAGAGAGACAGCGAGAGAGAGAAAGAGAGAGAGGGAGGAACAGACAGAAAGAGGAGAGAGTGACAGTGAGAGAGAGAGAGGGCTAGAGAGAAAGAGAGAGAAATAGAGAGAGAAAGAGAATGGGAGGGCTAGAGAGACAGAGAGAGAAAGAGAGAGAAAGAGAGGGAGGGAGAAAAAAGAGACAGAAAGAGAATGAGTGTGATAAAGAGAGAGAGA